CTCGATGAAGCCAAAGACGCTGAAAAACATGGTTACTTACGTGCCGAAGAAGCCGCTAGCCTCAGTGACTGTTGCTGACATCATAACAGCTCTGCAGGAGCGGTACAGCACGCTAAAACCGATTTCGTGCCAGATGTATCTTCTCTATTTTGTCAAAACCTCAAGATGGACCTAGCGATAGACGACTGTGACGCACGAATCATTCGCTACTACGAAAGCTTCAATGCCGTCGTGGAAGACAATATCCTGTATGGCCTGCTTGGCGCGGACAATGTGACTGAAGCCGGTCGCAAACGCTGCATAACGGCTACCACCTATTGATTGAAGCGTTGAACGTTATGTGCTTAAGGTACAAATCGCTCGTCTGATCAATTAGAGAAACGCGACTGCGAAACAGATATGTTCTATATATATATATATATATATATATACCAGCGAAGCCCGAGAATATGCTGACGCTAGTGACGACGATGAGCTTCGTGCTCAACTTGACTAGCAGATTGTATTGCTGCCTCTACTAAGCTCTGGGAGGCACTGTCGCCGTGGTTTGGTCAGTTGTCAAGCTTGGAAGGCAGCACCAAAAATCTTAGTCTAGCAATACTGAAGAAAATATGATGCTGGGATGGGAACGACGGTTTTTCTTTAAATTCATGGTTATTTTGACTGTTTCTCAATTATTAATGGCTAAATTCCATTTACCAGGTTTTGTTCCATTCATGCAGTTGTTATTGCATTTATCGTAAAAACAATATAGTCCAAATAAATAATAATAATAATGAATGGACGGGTTACTCGGGAGTGTGCGAAGTTGGTTCACTGCAAATTGCGTATTCCTCTTCTTCAAAGTCACTTCAAGCCTGTGTAAAAGTTTGAAAAGAACATCGAACGGCCCTTTGTAAACGCAAGAGACTCAGGCAATCCATCTTCGGTTTTTTTGATGCCGCCAAAACGTTCACAATACGACAGAAGACTCTTCTTCTTGCGTGCGGTACGATCAAGGTGAGGCCAACAGCTAAGAAGCTTGATTTCCGGCCACACATCTTGAAATGCGTTCTCAATTACAGTTGAATGGTCTAATGCTTCGAATAGGAGATCCAAGATAGTGCGCCATCTTTATCTAGCACGCTGTCGCAAGAGTCGCTTATCACGTCCAGACGGCTCGCTCGCGTCCTTAAGCACCCATCACTTCCTCAACGGCCGCCGCCGAATCGTCTACAGCAGCTTGCGCGCCTGCGGCTGTCTTTTTATTCGCGTCTAGGAATCTGAAAGAAGCTATATCCATAACAATTCAAGAGGACCGATGCGAAAACAAATAAAAGTCTACTCCAAGTCCGTGCAGCTTCCTGCATGGATTGGGTAATCCAAACGAGAGGCCAAATCTTCACGACTTTAATTTGCTGACACGTGAAATATCAGTAATATTGAAGCCCAAGC